TATTGGTGAAGGTGTTCATGTAAGAGCAGAATTTAGTAAAAAAAATATGATGCTTGTTGGTGTTGGTTTAGGATTTTATCTTGAAGTTTCTATTAACGAAGCAAAAGAAATTGCACAAAAACAAATTGAAAGACTTGAAATGGAAATACAACATGACCTTCTTGAGTTAGCAAAGAGAAAAGCAACATTAACACTAACAAATCAAGGAAAACAACTATTAGAAAAAGGATTTTAATTAATTTTTATTGTTTTTTTTGTATTTTATTTAAATTTGTTAAATATATCAAAAAATAATCTCTTTATACTTTTTTATTGTTTTTTTATTTAAAAATATAAAGGAAAATTAAAAGTAAACTTCTTTTGTAATTTTTATATTTGAATTCAAAGCAATAACATCTAAAGATCCACAACTACAACACAAATATTATCTTTGCTTCCTTCTTTGTATGCTTGATTCCTAATTGTTTGTGCACGAATTTCAATTGGTTGACCATTAATCATTATATCACGAATTTCAAGATTAGTTAATGCATCAGTTACACCATCACTCATTACACAAATAGAAATGATATCTTCTTTTGACAGTACTTTAGTAGTTGGAATAGACGTCATAGGAGGATGAAGTGATCTATCACCAATACTTCTAGTTACCATAATTTGTCCATTAACACGTTTAGTACCAAACAAATTCATTACCACACCACCATTTTTAACAATCATCTCTTCTTCTTTTGGGTCAGTAGCTTTGTGATCGTAAGTAATTTTTTCAATACTTTTATCTTTTCTAATTACATAAGCAGGAGAATCACCACAATTGCCAACTTCAATACTATTTTGTTTAACAGCAACAACAGTAGCAGTACAACCTGCAGTTGTTTCTTTTGAAACAAGATCATTTAATGATTGGAATGTATCAGTAATATTTCCATGACATGAACCGTATACTTGTTTTAATTTATTTCTACATAGTGTAGCTGCTTCATGCCCATTATGACCATCAAAAACTGCAAAAAGATCAGCGCCTTCAATATTTGTAGCAACACAAATACGATCTTCATTATAATTTCTTCTTCCAGAAGTATGAGCTACAGCTGAAGTATATTGAGTAGAAGTTTCATAAACAGAGAGCTAAAAATGAGTATTTAATAATTTAATATTAACACTTTTATAAATAACAAACATCTGAACAGTTAAGGTCTTCATCATCACTGTCATATTCAGTATGGTCAATGTTATTATCAGCTAATAACTGTGCTGTTTTTCCTTTTTCAATAAGAATTGTACTACTTTTTCTTGGTAAATGAACTTTAGCCTTTTCAGCTTGTTGACGAATAAATTCTTCTTCTGAAGAATCAGTTGAATCATCATAGTCATCAAAATTATTATTGGAAGAGGAGCCTTCAGAAGACATTAAAATGAACTGAAATTATTTAATCTTTTTGAAACAATTTTTTAAGAGTCTTTTTTCTCTTTTTGTATTAATTTTTAAAACTATATAAATAGTTTTTCCTTTAATTCTGATGAGAATTTCATATTTAATTATATAATTACTATCTTAAATTATCATTATTGTATAAAAAACATATTTTTATTTTATTTTATTTTATTTTTTTTAAACTCTTTAATTGAATTGGATTCTCTTTTTAAAAGTATTATAAATTCATTCTTTTATCTTAATAACACAACTAACGTGCCTTCAACAGAACTTTTCTTATTTGTTGTGATCGTTTGATTTAAAAGTCTTCGTTGATTTTTCTCTGACATTCTTCATTTTTATAGAAACAATGTTATAACAAAAAAAAAATAAAAAGATTATTAGTAACGACTATACAATAAACCTTTTTGAATCTTTTGTGTTGATTCTAGAATTAAATAAAGTGTAATTTGTTTTAAATAATATGTACAGAAATACTATAATCATTTAGAATTAAACTTATTATAGTTAACAAAGAAATTAATATTTCGTAGGTGTAAGTTGTTTTATAACATAAAGCCAGAGTATAATAAATTATTTTTGATAGAAATGTATTATGAAAAAAAACATAAAAGTTGTAAAGTAGTAATAAGAGATTAAACTTATAAAAAACTTTTTATGGAATTTGTATGAAAGTCAATAAGAAAGAGAAGTGATAGATTTACAGTAATTTAATTTTAAGAAAATAATTTAGAGTGGAATGATTTACAAATTTGATTTAAATTATTATTCTAATATTTTTTAAATCAAAAAAAAACAAAAAAAAAATAAAGGCTTTATAAATAAATTAATTGTTTATTTTGAATACATTTTAATTATTTGATGAACTTCTCTTAGTTGTTTTAATGAGATATGTGATAAGTCAATTTCAATATCAGACTCTTTTGTATTATAATTTAAATATGTTAAAATTTCAACTAATCCTTTTTCTTGGGTATTATTTAATTCTCTTATGATATATTCTACCCAATATTCACGTTCTTTTTTACCATTACAATCTGTCATTCCTAATAAATCGTCAATACTAACAGTATTAATTTTTCTCATATTTGTTAATACAGTAGTATATGTTGTAAATACTTTTCTCAAATATTCATCTAAAGCTTTTCTATCAGTTTTTCGTTTTTGTACTTCTATATCACAGACTGGATAATTCAGACTATTTAAATAATTGATAATTCGTTTTTGAATATCACTTAATGATTGGTGATGTGTCATTGTTGAATTTATAGCAAGTTCTTTAAATAAAATAAATTTATCTTCATAACTTATTTCTTTCTTTGAAAAGAAATGAAAAAGTTTAGTACTAATGATACAAAACTCTTCTTCTACATTTTTGAATGATATATCTTTTTCATAAATATCAGTAAATAAAAGTTTTATCGATGGAAACAATTCAATTAAACTGTCTATATAGATATATTTTCGTTGGCTCTCCATAAAATAAATTATTTGAGTTGTTTATTATAGAGTTTGTTAAGCATTTCAGTGATATCCTTGCTATTTTTTCTAAGACTTCGGACAAACAAATTACCTTATTCAAAATTACATTTGTTTTTCAAGCAATGAATATTCCTTCAAATTCACTCTTTCTCTTTTCCTTTATTCTTTTTTTACTGATTCATTACCAAATGAAAACCAATTTTCGTTTGTCTTTTTTTAAAAAATGATGATGTGTAAACATTTTATTCTCTTTAATAACCAATTAAATTTTATTTATTTTTAAATAAATAAAATAATTCTCTAAAAAAAAAAAAGATTTTATGTTTATTGAAAGATTTAAAAAACAAACCAAACCACTTCTCTTCATTTTACTTTTTAAAAAGTAAAGAGTAGTAAATTGAAGGAATGGTTAAAAATTAATTTAGATCAATTATTAATTGATTTACAATTTCAACTGCTTTAACCATTGACTCTACAACTGCAAACTCTCTTCTTGAATGGAAATTTATACCTCCTGAAAAGAAATTAATTGATTCTATTCCTTTTTCACATAACCAACAACTATCAAAACCACCTCTAAATGGTTTTTTAATTGGAGTAACGCCAGATTTTTTCATTGCATTTATTAAATTATCTTCTAAAACTTTACAATCATAAAATGTTTGAATATTAGAATACATTCTTTTCATTTCAATACTTACTTTAACAGGATATTCACTCTCTATAGTTTTTCCATTTTCATTCATTATTTGGACAAAGTGTTGTAATTCTTTTTCATCAAAAGACCGTAGAATAAAATAACTACTTGCTTTTGTTTCATTTGCTTTACTTGAAGTACATAAGACAAATCCTTCTTTGTCTTTTGTTAGTGATGGATGGTTTATTGGTTTCAATTCTAAATAACGTAATAATGCATTAGGACAACATGTTCCTTCAATTTGAATAAAACAATTTATCGCATTGAAATTTTCTGTTGAATACGTCCCTAATTCATTACCATCTAAAGAATAAGCTTTTTTTGCTTGGACTTTGTCAATATCTAAATGAGTTATACTTCTTCCTATTTCTTCATCAGGAGTAAAAACTATTACTACAGGAACTTCTTTATTTTTGTACATTTCACAAATTGTCATGAGTATAGCAACAGCGCATTTGTCATCTGCACCAAGTAATGTATCACCACTAGAAGTTATTATTTTTTTTCCTTGGTATTTCTTTAATTCTTTAGCTGTTAATACTATGTTATTTAAAGGTAAATGAATGTCTTCCATTCCAACAACATGAATAAGTGGTTTAACGTTTTTACCAGGAGCTTCATTTGAAGTATCTACATGACCAAAAAATGCTAGTTTTGGAGAATTAGAAAGATATGCAAAAAGATGACCAGTTGGTGTTAATTCATTTTTAATTCCCATTTCATTTAATTCTTTCTGAAGGTATTTTTCAAATTCAATTTGAGTAGGAGTAGATGGAATAGAATTAGACATTGGGTTACTAGTTGTTTCAAATTGAGTGTATTTAATAAATCTTTGGACAACTACTTCCTCAATATTCATTATTTAATTTATGAAGATAAACTTTATAAAAATAAATTAAAAAAAATTCATTTTATACTATAGAAGCTCCTCCATCAACAAGTAATGCTGTTCCTGTTATAAATGAAGCTAAATTACTTCCTAAGAAAAGAACAGCATTTGCAATGTCATTTACTTCTCCTACTCTTTGTAGTGGAATGTCAATGGAATGATGCATTGAATCAATTAATTCTTTCTTAAGGCTTTTGTCATGTGCCATCTCTTCACCAAATCTACGTTCTAACTCTTCATCTGAAGTCCATCTTTCAACAAATGTATCACCTGGACAAACTGCATTAATACGAATATTTGGTGCATATTGAAGTGCCATCATTTTAGTGATATGTATAACTGCAGCTTTACTATCACTATACCCAAAATATTGAGGATCAGCTTTAATAGAAACATCACTACCAATATTTACTACAGCACCATGACTTTGTTCAAGTAAATTATGAAAATGTTTTGTCATTTGCCAAACACTTTTTACATTTGTTTGATAGAGTAAATCAAATGTTTCTTCAGTTAGTTCATCACAAGTGTCATAAGTAACTATTCCAGCATTATTAACAAGAAGATCTAATCTATTATATTTTTCTTGAACAATATAAACTAATGAATCATACTCTTTGAAATTAGTGACATCAAATGGAATAAAATCTATTTGTCCAAAATGTTTATTATTTAATTCATGTGCAATGGCTTCACCTAATTCTTTTCTCCTTCCAATAAAAATGACATTACACTTTTGTTCAGTAAGTTGACGTACAATAGCCTCCCCAATTCCAGATGTTCCTCCAGTAATCAATGCAACCTTTCCTTCAAAATTCATCACTAACTAATATTACTTAGTTCATTTAAAAAATAGTAAAGAATAAAATGACAGGTACAAGTCAATTAAGTATTTCTATCTCTTATTTAGTAGATGTAAACTAAAGAATAGACAACAGTCCACACAAAAATAAATGACTAATATTCATAAGTTCAGTTTTATTGTTATAATATTAATAACAAACCATAACAAATGGGAAAAATGCTTCTAACAACACATCATAACTACTCTCAAACAAATCTTTTATTGACGGTAATACTCTTAAATAAAGTAAAGTTGATATCAATGAATACATCACCATCATAAAAATAAACCCTTGAATATGAACAAGTCCTAGTGCTCCACTCACAATTCCACATCCAATAGCTGCAATTACTTTACAACAATAAATTGTGTCTTTATTTTTTTGAATGAGTATAGGTGAAAGAGAAGGAATAGTATTAGACATACTTGGTATTTCCTTTTTTAAAGTTCTTTTTTATTTTTTTTTTCTTTTAAAACACAATTTAAAAAATATGTTTTTTTTATTATTAGAGGTTTTATATTTTCATATTGTTATTTCTTCAATATTAACTCTCAAAAAATTCAGAGTCTTTTGTAGTCTGAATACTTGTAAATTTAAACCATAAACATAGTAAAAAGGTACAAGGGTGTAAGAGTAAATAAATAATAAACTTTTATTTGTTGAGTATTTTATTGATGAAATAAAAATAAAATTCTGGTAAAATGAACAAAAAGAGTGAGAACAAAATAAGCTTAATTATTATACACTAATGCATTTTATTTCCATTTAAGTAATGAAACAATAACACTAACATTATCTTTGGACCCTTTTTCTAATGCATCTAATGCAATATTCTCTGCAATTACTGTTGGGGTTTTATTTAATTTAATACCAGTAGTTACCCAATCAACAACATCATCATAATTTAATGTTTCATAAATACCATCACATGATATTACAAATGCTTTATCTTTTTTTGTCATTTCATAAACTTTTACATGTGGAGTAGAAATTACAGCTCCTCTTCCTCCTTTATATTGCTTATCACCCAAAGATCTTGAGACAGCTAAACTGCCATATACTCTTCCACCATAAACAGGAACACCAAGACTTGTAATCCTTTTCTTTTCGTCTGGTAATTTTGCTTTGTGTTGAACTGATAATATTTCATATTGTTTTCCTTCAGAAATAATTAATACCTCTGAATCACCAACATTTGCACAAATTAAAAACCGACCAATTATCAAAACAACTGCTGCTGTACATCCTGAATTATCATAAACAGTGTCGCATAATATTTTATCACTTTTACTGAAAATTTCATTCATCATTTCTTCATACATTTTCTTCTTCATCAATTCACTTTTCATAAGTTCTTCTTCAACAACACTTATTGCAGCTTGTGAAGTCCCACTTCCTCCGTGCCCATCAAATACTGCATAAAATCCAAATTTTATTTTATCTTTTTTCATTTTATCTTTAACAATTTCAGTGTCTTCATTTGTTGGTCGTTTACCTTGTAAAGAAATCATTCCAGTAATACATTTAACCTTTTTATTTTCTTTGAATTGATAGTTAAAAACTTTAAATGATTCTTTTCCTTCACTAACACTTATTTTTTCGTTTTTTAATTTTGCCTCTTTTTCTATAATTGGATAAATTGCACGTGGAATTTTTAGTAATGAATTTGGATCAGGAATATTAGAAACTATAATACCTACTTCCCCTGTCATGAATGGTTTACTAAATTTAAATTGTTGTTTAATAAAATTGATTTCACTAATACTACCATCATATTCAGGAAAACAATTTTTTAATGGGTATTTCTTTATTAATTCATCAAAGTGTTTCTTTATAAGGAATATGTACATTCCTTTACTTTCAAAGGGATGTTCAGTTGTTGTTGTTATTCGTTTCAATGTAGCAATAACTCTAAGTAAACAATTTCCTTCTGGTCCAACAAAACAATAATTATCAAGTAAGACAGGTATAATTATTATAGAAGGATTTCCAAGTTGAATTTGATTCATATCTAGTGTTGGAGGTGGATTCCATGTAGATAAATAAATATTAACATCATTATGAACAAATTGTGACATTTGAATTGGACTTATTGGAGGACAATAGTACAAATCATTTATTGTAGGAATGTATTCAACTGATAAAAATTTAGACATATGAGGAATTAAAAATGATAAGAAATGAATATCATCATGATATGGAGGACAATTATATTTTTGAATAATTGGATTAAACCAAATGTCTTGTATTAGAGTCATTAGTTCTTTCCAAGCAGGGTCCATTTTAATATCAATTGAAGTGTGTAATCGTTGCATGACTTTAGAACTTTCAAGAACTTTTATTAAAGGAGTGATATCAAATGGAATGAGTTCATTGTTTTCTTTTACGTCTTCTACAATCTCTACTAGTCTAATGATCCCTTGAATACAATGACTAACAACATGTCTTCTAAAATCAATAGTATTTAATTTAATCTCCTTTTCACCTTTTCCAACAAAATCAAATGCTTGGAAAAATTGATGAATTCCATGATGAGACGGTCCAGTAATGTAAATATGAAGCTCTTTATTTGGTGTTTTCATAATGACTTGAGTTAATTTAAAAATAATATTTTTAGTTTTATCGATTTTCTTCTCTTTTAATTTATTTCCTTTTCTTATAATGTTTTATATAACAATAATATGAAAACAACAAATCAATTTATTTGCATTTTGTTTGCACGAATGCATTCTTAATCATGGCGTGATTCTTATCCATTGATTTGTAATGTTTTTCGAAGTGATATAAACTAGATTTTACTGCTTTAGAAACTTTCTTATTAGCAACAGTAGATATGTGTTTTCTTAATTGAATAATACGTTCCAATTTAGATTGAACTCTTCTGGCTTTGTGATTAAATCTTCTGACTATCTTTTTGCAAAGTTTGTGGAATTTTTGACACTTTCTTATATTAAAAACTTTTCTTGATTGACTTTTAAATTGTTGATAGAATTCTCTTGGTTTATTTCTGTATTGTCTTCTTAAATCTTTCATCAATTGTCTTAAATGTCTTCTGACAGTTTTTCCTGCAACTCTTCTTTGTCTTCTTAATCTCTTTCTTTGGGTTCTTCTAATTTTTCTAATTGAACGAATTTGTTCAGCTAAAGCTCTACGAATTTCAGCAGCTTGTTTTCTTAATACAACTAATTGTTTCATCATTCCTTTCTTTTCATTAATTGGTTTATTTGCCATTGTTCTTTCTATTTTTCGAATCATTTTAACTGTTTGTTTTAATTGGGTGTATAAAGCTCTAACATTATTTTGATGTTTACGACTATACTTTTCAAACCATCTACCATTAATAAAACGATGGACTCTATGATTTACAAAACGGTCTTCTGCATTAACGGCAAGTAATACACAAAAAATTAATAACACCTTCATCATGATTATAAAAATATAATTTTTTTTAGTTTTAAGTTCTTTTTTATAGTTCTTGCCCAATTTTATTTTATTTTTATAAAGACATTAGACAATAAAAAGAAACTAATAGTAACTAATTATCTCTTTCAATATCTTCAATAACTTGTTTATACCAATTCAATTTATGACTATACCTTTTTTGTTCCATTCTGTTTGTTTTTGGTAATGATCTAAATAAAAATGTTCCTGAATATGTTTCTACAGTTAAGTCTTTTGATAAAAGAAGAAATTCCTGGGACATTTCCATTAATTTAATATTTAGTTCATTATCTGAAGGTAATTTGTTTTTTCCAAATTCAATAAGTTGATTGAGATTTATATTAACTTCTTTTAGATATCTAGAAATCTCATTCCAGTCAGTGTTTAGTTTTAGAATCTGATTTACAAAATGATGAAGTTGTTTAGTAATATTTTTAATTGACTTGACTACAGTTTCTGTATTGTTGGGACTATTGTTCTCTTGTATAACACTTAGGTCGATGCTTAGTCTTCTTTGATTCTTTTTCATTCTAACTTTAGTTGAATTAATAAATCTCTTAGAATCGTTCAAAGTTCTCTGAGGGTCTGTCTCAATAATTAGTCTGAAATATTTGATGATATCATTGGATTTGTTAAGGACTTTAATAGACTGAGATATGAGATAACTTTTGTTCGATGAGGTATTAGTAATAGTTTCTAAAGATGCTAATTTTTGTTTTAATGTACTTATCTCCGCAATTTTTTTTGAGCATAACTCTGAGAATTCTTCTTGTTGAAATTTTGTTGGACTTATTTTTTCTCTAGGGGTTGTTGGTTCTGATTGAATAGAATATTTTTTAAATAAGATTTTGTTCATTATCATTATTTCTTTATTTGGATTAGAATAGGTTAATAGATAGTTGATGAACCAGTCTTTTAGTTCTTTCTTAAATTGTTTCAGTATATAAGATTCATTTGAATGAAAATTAGTAACTGTTTTATGAGTATAATTAAATGATGGAAATGGTGGTAAATCTTTAGTTGATAAAACTAAGAATATAAACGGAGAACGAGAAAATTGGTTAATCAGAAAATTAAGTCGGTAATAGAGATATTTTAATCGTTCAATAAGAAGTAGATTGAATTCAGAATCTTTATTCATTTCATAAAGGTTACACATAATCAAAGAACATAATTTAAATAATGAAATACCATCAAGAATCAACAAAGGAATGATTGTTATTTTGATTTGATTAATGTTATTTTGCATATCAGATAATGAAATAAGAAGCAAATCAGATGCAACAAATAGTTTCATCAAAAGTGAAACTTGTTCAACAAAAGAATTTAAAAGATTTGTTGTTGGAATAACCTTTCTATTGACCTCTTTTAAACAATGTAATAACTTTATTTGTGTCATAAGGTATTTAGTGTAATTAGCAATAAAGAGTGAGAGACCTCTTTTATCGTCTTTACATTCCCAGAATAATGAAGACAATCTCATACTTTTTATAGTTGAAGAAAGATCAAGTGAATCAAAATCAACGAAACTATTTCTGATTATGTAATGACATAGTAATAATGTTTTAATAACTACATTTTTGTGGTGACTTTGGAGTGATTCGTTAATACAATTAAAAATAGCTCTAGTGTATGTCAGGTAACACCTCTTTTGTAATAATTGATTTATTAGTTGTGGAGAAGGAAGTTCTGATTGATGAATGATTATATCCCATAACCAGTGAATATTATTTTCTCTAACTATTTCACTCATTTATCCTTTTCTCATTGAGGTTGAATCATTTTTGAATGAGTGTCTTTTCCTTTTAAAGTGTCAATTTTTTCATATCAATTTAATTTTTAAAAAAAGAACTTGAAAAATTAAACAAAGAAAGATTATTTTGTACATCTTCTTAGGTGTTTCATTTTCTTTGTTTGAAAAGTAAGTTAGAAGTACTAGATACCTCTCTTAAGAAAGATGTTAAGAAAGCGCTTAAGTACTTTATATGATGTTCTTTAATATTTTGGTAGTGATTACACTTAATTTTAAAAATATATTAAAAATATAAATGTACTTCATTAAAGTATAAAATATACTGAAAGTAGAAATACATTAAGTATAAACAATTTCTAATTTAAATAGTATTTATGAGTTACAGTTTCTTTCTTTTATTGGTTTTTCAAATGTTTTTATTCTATATTTTCATTGTAAACTTCTTTTTTTGAATTAACAAATTTATTTTGGATAAAAGTTTGAAGAAAAAAAACTTAGTTAATAAATAAGATAGAGTATTGTTAAATTTTAGTGATTGTTTAAACATTATAATGTGTACTTGCTTTGGTTTGGCTCTTCTTATAGAATGATTGTACACATAAAATTAATACGATTAATACATAAATCAAAATTATTTTTGTTAAATTCATATAATAAAAAGAATTAAGAAATTATTCAATTTAAAATAAAACAAGTAGAAGAACAATATTATTAAAAGTAAGTGTTAAGTACAAACAAAATATTGTTTAATTTTTGGTTTTATGATAGTTTTAAGGTTGATAGAATAATTATTGAAAGTAATTTTTAAATAACAAATTTAAATATGGAATTTTTTTATAAAAATTAAAAATAAAAAATAAAAAAAAGGAAAATTCTTCTTTCTCAATCATGCAAGACCTTATGAACGCTCTTCAAGCAAATGGTAATGAAACTATAGACAGAATAAGAAAAATAGAAGAGCGACTAGATTTTCAACAACAAACAATTGAAAAATTAACATTAGAGAATAGAAATCTTCATCATCTTTTATTTTCAATTATTAAAACAAGATTACTTGAAATTGATGATGTTTATGATGATGACATTGATTCACAGTACATAGAAAAAATGATTGGTGATAGAAATCAAAGTCTTTCTATGTTTGGTATTTCTAGTTTTAATTATATTAATGAAGTAAGAAAAGTAGATAAACCACTTAAACCAATAACACCAGAAATACTTATTGCATGTTATAAACTAACAGAAAATGAAAGTGAAAAAACAAGTATTTTATGTGCAATTTCAAAAAATACAAAACTCGAATATTCAACTTCATTATGTGATATTCTTGTTTCACATATTGGAGACTCTAATGAAATAAATGAAGACTTAGCAATAGATGCTTTTTGTTCAATGAAATGTAAATATAAAAATGAACAATTAATTCTTAATTTATGTCAATGTTTAATTGAAACACCAAATGATAATCTAACAAAGAAAATGAAATTAGCATATTTAATATTAAGATATTCTGAAATAGAAGATCATTGTATAAGAAAAGCAATGTTTACATCAGGAATTATTGAATATATTTGTGAAGATTATTTATCACTTCAACAATGTGGAAGTCTTGGAGTATTACTTTTAGTAATTAAAAATTTATTGGATGATCAAAGTTATACTGATTTTATTCCTTTTGAATGTGTAGAAGCTATCATTCATTCTCCTTTATGGTATGAAGATTTTCAAGACAATCAATGGAAACAATTAACTCATTTTGAGCCTTTTTCATTATTAAAAAATATTTGTTCGTCTCCTATTCAAAGAAATGTTATTAGTAGAAGTGGATTACTTGAAGATATTTTTGAACACATTGATGTAGATAATAAGGACTGTCTTCTAACTTTATTAGAACTAAATAAAATTTCTCCTCAAGACGTTGTTGACTATACTGAAATTATAAAAGAGGCAATGGAAGACCATCAAGAAGATAAAGAGTATCTTCAAATAGCAACTCATCTTCTTTGTGCAATTGCATTATCTCAATCTTCATCTTCAAGACAATCTCATTTTGAAACTCAAAAATAATACTAAAATTAAATTTCAAGTTTAAAAATACTTTCTTCTAATTAAATTTAATCTAATTTTATTCTATTTATTATTCTTTTAAATTCCTTATTAAATTAAACTATTTAATATTAAAACAAATATATCAGTGTTTTAAATTATTCACTTTATTTTTTCTTTGAAGTAGAGATAATAAATATTTTAGATTGTTTGTCTTTAATAAACTCCACATTTAAGGAAAAGTTAGAGATTTATTATTTTTGAATTTGCACCAATCACTGAATAAAACTATTTTAATTAATTCAAAAATGACTCAAAAAAAAAAAAATAATATGTGTCATAGTACTTTATTGGTCAAACTAATATCAAATTTTAATTTTGTAAAAGTGATATTTTATATGGTAATGTTGTAAACTTTTGTAGTTCTTTATTTAATAACAT